ACAGCCATGCTCTTGATTCTGTCGGATGTAGAATACTCCCTAGAATCTTCTACAAACGCCGAACATGCCATCTATCAGCGAAACGACCAGACCAATCGCAGCAATGCATGCGCTTAGAATGTGGATATGGTGGGCTTCCCCGCTAAAAATGGTTCATCAAGCGGTCAGTGTCTAGGGTTTGCCGCGGCCTCCCGCGCATGGAAGTCGTTGCATGTGGTTGGCAAAGCAAGCTATGCGGTACGGTAGCGAATAGAGTGTTGAGATGCCTAGAATAGACATACACCGGATCGTGCGCATGGAAGAAAAGGCAATCATCAGGGGTGTCGCTCGCTCGCTAACCGGGAAGATCGTCACAACTCTGGAACAGAAGGTGTTTTTACTTGTAACACCGCATGGAAAGGATAGAAGAGAAGAAGGAGAGAAGGCAAATCAGCTTGGTTTCTCACAGAGAGCCGTTACTGCAGTGTCTTGCTTACTAGGACTTGAGCTGCCCAGGTATCCAGGACTTGCACGTGGCTTCGACTAGGTTTGGATAGAACTGAAACTGAACTGACAGCTGCATCCCCGTTACGTGAGCCGACTGACCGCCGCAACGAGCTCGGACTGTTGAGTTGTTCGTGCAATATGACAAGCGTGAATTCAAGGCGACTGTTTTGGACTGCTTCCGGATGGAAAAAGAAAAGATGGACAGGGAGTCGGTCGCTGTGTAAGCATGGTGTCGAGTGTGTAGTTGAAGCATCAAACAGGGCGATGGTTGAGAGATTGACCTGCATTGTGGGGTAGAAGCCATGTACCAGGCGAGGAAGGCACGGCGACCGGGCCGCTGGATAGCTTCGTTTCCGCGGAAGAGGCCGTTGGGACCCAAATCGTCACCTTAGCCTCAAGTTACTTTTCCTGCGTTTTGACTGCGAGAGTACCTCCGCTTTGACTTTGTCACTCGCCAGAAGCGAGTGGTGGGCTGCCGATGCATCTACTTCTACTCGCCTATGTGGGGCAACCGGTGTTGGGAATGCACCTAGAAGGCGCCTAGAAGGTTTGTTGCACCTGAGGATGGTGTCCATGGGCTGTCATGGAGAAAAAGAAAGCTACTTGTCCCAAAGACTCGAGGGCCGATACATCACAATTCAACGGAAACGAGGTAGGTTCGGAATGTTCTCCCATTTGTCCTCGACCAACTGGCGGTCAATCCAGCTGAGAAATTGGCACTTACCTAGACCATAGTCGTTCATGCGTGGTGTTGGGGAAATTATGTCGATTCTTGGATTCCTCGACCCTTTTAGCCCTGACCCTCTTCCCGTCTTCCCCATCTTTGCAGTCACCTTCTGCACTGCCCTTTGTGCAACAATAGTGCTCGCTACCCGGTTGACGAAGGCGTAAACATCGATAAAGAAAGATTACGAAGAGGAGACGACAATATCTACGCTTGGCTAAAAACAAGCCAACCTTCCGGTCGAATTGCAGGTTCAACAAAGATTACTCTAAACTTGGTATGCCCAAAACAACTCATATTCGTACAACGGATCCGAAACCCAACCCAACCCCCCAAAATTCAGAATCCTCGTGTACTGGCTGATACTACAAGTGTTCTATGCAATGTAGGCATACAATCCATCGTCCTCCCTCTCCAAGAACTCCTTCTCAATCAACCGATCAATGTTCCTCTTGATACCACTAACCTCTAAAGTACCCCTGTTTCTTGTAGCCTTGATAGTCTCACTGACTAGTTCGGCGTGACTGATTCTCTTTCTTGCCTTCAAGATGCGCACAATGGCGGCTTGCGTCTCATAGTTTCGATCCGCAGCAACACGTTCGTGGGTTTCCTTGTTTTCAGCCGCAGTTTCCTTGAGCTGAACAGTGTTGACTTTGATGCGGTACTTGGGATCTGTAAAAGAAGAGTTGATAGTGAACGTATCACTCTCGCTAATCTCGCGGCCCTTTGGATGCTTCGTTAGAGGCCGCACTTTGGCACAAGCGAGAGATTGTAATGTACGATTAAGCTCGGCAGGGGCTATTGATCGTTAGTCGTGCTATTAAAACATCATGCTGTATGACTCACGTAGTCCTGTGGCTTGCTTGAGATATTCGTAATCAATGTGCTCGTCATCCCCTCGGCCATTGAACAGCAATAGTACAATGGCCTGGAATGACGAGACTACCAGTTCCTTGAGGCCTTTGGGGAATCTGGCCTTAACTTGACAATGCGCCAGTGCGTGCTTGAACTCAAGCTTGCGGCCAGTGTGTTTGATCTTGTAGTGCGCTTCGAATTTGTTCATAGCAGATTGGACCTCTGGCGGTAGGATGACGGGTACAGTGGGGTAGGTGGGCCAGGCGGACGCAGAAAGGATGTTTACGTTCAGATCGAGATCGAGTTTTTCGTTACGTTCCTCGCTAATGTTCTTGTATGAACTCATTTCTTCGCGGGACAGTTCGATGTCTCGGAACATTTGTTCAAGATTGGCAGTGAAACCAGCACCACATTCTATAGTGAGTTAGTATGCAGGTCAAATGAAAGTTGCTATCGAGGAAAACTCACCAATCTTGAGTCTTGATAACATGCTTCTCTCAGCATCCGCACTAGCGCTTCTACCCATCAACAATCGTCGTGCTAGGTCTTTCTTGTAAAAGGCCTCAAAAACAGCCTTGCCATGTAAGAAGCGAAACAGATCGAGAACCTGGTCGAGTTGGTTGTTGACTTCAGTGTCTTCATCAAACACATGGTCTTCCTTGTCATCCTCAGGCTCAACTTCAACAGGCTTCTCTGACTTCCGGCTCAACTGTGTTGGTATCGCCTTGGCACCTCCTCTCAATAACATGTCGACGTACTTGGCAATCATCTCGCCCGTCTTGGAGTTGTCTGTGCCCCAGCTTGCGTTCGTCTTCTTTGTCTTGTTCATGAACTTGTCAAAAGCCTCGCGCAGCCCGTGACCCAGCTCTTCGTCTCGATGGAACGAGGTTTTCCAAATGGCATCTAACTGACGCTTCAATGACAGCAGTTGTACGACCATGTTCTCTTGTTCCTTTTCATTGAAGACGATAGCTGTGCCTTCGTCTTCTATCCACTTTGTAAAACCTGGCCGTAGGCGTGCGCCCATTTTTCGGCGTTCGAGAAGTGTGTATAGCAACTCGAGATCTTGGACAGCATTAGTTTCCAGGAGGTCAGCAAGTTCGTCTTGATTAGTCAATCTAGACTCCTTCTTCGTGATTAGATGATCTTCCAGCAGCGTAAGAAGCTCTCGCTTGGTTGTGTTTGGAAGGCTAAACATCTCTACCCTCTTCATCTCACAGTCCATGAGCGCCCTCGAATTGCGCACATACTCGGGCAAGGACTTCTCTGCACTCTCCGTGTCTGCCCATTTCACTATGTATTCCTGACTGAGTTCCATCAAGCGCGGCTCAAAGTGCCGTGTGTAGACTTGCATGTCGTGGAACATATTGACTGTCTTGGAGAACATCTCGCTGTCCAGATCGCCGCCTGTCCGATCAGTTGCTACCAGATCGCAGGCACCATCAACAATGCGAGGGTTTAGTTTGTCATTTTCAAAGACGATTGAGCGGAAAAGGCTAATGCAGATGTCGCGAAGGGATTCGTGACGTGGGAGGAGGTAGGCTCGGTCGAGGTAGCAAAAGATCCAATCTAGGTATTTCTGCAGTCTGTCAGTTTGGTGGCATGGATTCCTGTGTGCCCGACTTACCATCTGATTGTTCCATAGTGCCCAAGCATGTAGCGTCGTCCGCAATACATCAACACTAGTTTTACCCAGGTTGCCTTTTACCTTTGCCTCTAAACTGCCTCGCACGTAATCTCGGCACTTGGTGGTTAGACGTTCTTTGATGTCCCTGGCCATGTCCTGTCGACAGACATTTTCTACGCCGCGGTACAGCTCCTCCAGACTAAAGTCAATGTCGCCTTGGTCAAAGATGGTGTCAAGGGCCTTTTCGACCTTCTGCCATGTCTGGTCCAGAAAAGCACGGGGGTCCACCTTTCTAATCGGCTTGAAATTCTTCACCACCAGTCGCTTGGGGCCGCTATTGCCATGCAAGTTGGGTGCTGCCTTGCGCGTTCCATTGCGTTGGCCGCTCGTCTTCGCAGGGCTGTTCTCAGGGCTCGAGGTGATATGAACGACATTTGCATTACTAGATATGCCTGCCTTCTTGCTGGGAAAGCTGTACATATCGGCCGTATCCATACTGCTTATCAAAGAGGGCGGAGTGGCAACCTCTGTGCTCTCTATGGGCGAGCTGTCTCGTCGTGTGCGCTTGCTTGTGGGCGATAACGGAGCTGCCGAGGCAAGGTTTGGCTTGGAGTGGGTGGTGAAGAGCTCCTTGATGGTCTTGCCCGAGTGCTTCCGTTTCAGCGCGCTTGAATTGGCTGACATTGGGCGGGTGTGATGAGAGTGAAGGTTACGGAGCTGTAGCCGCACCTGCGTCCGAAGCGCTTCCGTAAGTGACGTATCGATAACAAACGGTACCTCCGGCACGTTGACTGCACTGCTTATGCACGCAGCTGCAGGCTTACGACTGTATATTGAAATGTGGTGCGAATCATTTGATAGACAGGGCTGCAACTTTGCACTCAATCGTCGGTAGTGTAATCTATCCAAAAGACGATGGACTATGAAAATCTGCAAGCATGTCCTACGTACTGTCCGGCTATGTCTTTGCAGGACACACAGTCGGTAACCCCGGACAACAATCAAACTTGGTGCAAGGCGGTCGTTTGCTCTAGAGAAACTAAAGCAGCCATGACGCCTTGATGGCATCTGTAGAGAACGAATACAATGATCAGTCAAAGGCGTCTATACAGCGTGCAAGCGAATAGTAGTCGACGCTGGTGCAGCGTCATGCACGTGCGCTGAACCTGGGACTAAAAGTGCTCGGACTATACAACGCGTCTCCCATTGCTGTCCCCGCCTCCACCCCATCGACCGCAATTGTCGCGCCACATTCCTCGACTGCAACGCCACTTTTCCTCGCACCATATACTCACGCGCGCGACCACCATGAGCGCGCCGGCATCGCCCTCAGGGGTCGACCAGGTCGAATCTACTGCCACGCGGCGCAAGTCTGGACGCGTATCCAGAAAACCAGACAGGTTCGCGCCAGGCGCGAGCCCAACCACCACCACCAAGCGGAAGCGCGGCAACGACAATGACAGTGCAGTAGACGCGAGCGACTCTTCCGAACAAGAGTCGGACCAGAGCACTGAGGACGAGCCGGATGATGAGGAAATCAAGGAGCGCAGGCGCAAGAGGAAGACCAAAGCTGCTGCTCGTAAGCCAGCAGCTAAGAAGCCAAAGACCAATGGCGACAGCCTCAATCTGGCCATCCGTCCCGCCAGCAACGCGACAAAGAAGCTTGCCAAACGACCCCGAAAAGCGCCTGTACGCAAGAGCACCCTGCCAGAGGAGACCGAAGGCCTATACGGTATGTTTGCAGGCGCGGCATGGAGTCTGCACAAGCTAACGCGCCATAGCCGACGTGTTCGCTAGCGGAGACCGGCTCGAAGACGTGACCGCTCAGTGGATAGCCCGGTTCAATGAACATGAGGCCAAAGCTGTGGCCGAAATCGTAAATCTAGTCTTCCAAGCTTCAGGCTGCGATTTGCGGATAAACGAGGACGACATAGGCGACCCTGATAACGCGCCCAATCGCGTAGCCGAGATTCAAGAGGAATTCCAGCAGGTGGGTCCAGACGGCTTCATGCAGCCCGGTGCATACTAACAAGAACCAGTACGAGGTTACTGAATACCCTCTAATTGCAAAGGCAAAAGATGGCGGTGGCAATGCCTTCAGAAACGCGCTGCAAGGCTTCTTTATGACCCTCATACAAACCATTGCAGAATCAGGCCTCATGTACGAGAGCGTGGAGATTTTAGAAAACATTTCCGTCTGGCTGGGCGCCATGTCCTCCACCGGTAATCGTCCATTCCGGCATACAAGCACAGTCGCCTCGCTAGCCATCACAACCGCCCTGGCACAAGTTGCGGCAGACCTGGTCGAGAATACGGCTAAGCGCGTCCGCCAGAGCGAAGCAGAAGCCAAAAAGTCAAGAGTGAACAAAGAACGTGTGGCTGCAGCGGAAAAGGAAATCGACGAGTACAATCAGAAGCTAGAATATGTCGGGGGCCAGTTGGATGACTGGTTCGCTGCCGTCTACGTTCATCGTTACCGGGACGTCGATCCTAAAATCAGAGTCGATAGCGTGGTAGCGCTGGCAGATTGGATCATGGCATATCCCGACAAGTTTTTTGACGGCACCAAACTCCGCTATCTGGGTTGGGTGCTTTCAGATCCAAATCCATCCACACGAATCGAAGTGCTGCACCAACTTGCACGCTTGTTCCGGGATGAGAGCAAGCTGGCCGGCTTGAAGACGTTTACCGAGCGCTTCCGACCACGTATTGTCGAAATGGCTACTCACGATGCGGAAATCAACGTGCGTGCTGCGGCAGTCGACTTACTCGACATCCTTCGTGAGGCCGGCTTCCTTGAGCCCGATGATATTGATTCGGTTGGCAAGCTCATCTTCGACTCTGATGCAAAGGTTCGCAAGTCTGTGGTTGGCTTTTTCGCCGAGAATGTCAATGCTGCATATGAAGCGACCGTAGAAGATATGGGAGGCGAAGAAGCGTTAAATGAAGCATTGGCTCCACCTGACGAAGAAGAGGAAGAATATCACAACCCACGACTCGAGTGGCTCAAGCTCAAGTGTTTAGTTGATCAGTTGCTCTCATACGACGAAGACGAAATTGAGCTGCCCTCGCAAATCCAGCGCATGTCTCCTGGTACGGAGCTGGGGTTGATTGCTGCTGGTGTGGAATCGCGCGTTTCGCTCGCTGCTCAAGCTCTCTACGATGCCATTCCGGAGATTCGGTCATGGGAGGTTTTGGCTGGTTACCTCCTCTACGACCATTCCCAAACTGTTCAAGGAGACAGTGAGGATCCAGAAATCATGCTTCGCCAAACCTGCCAGCTCGAGGAGAAACACGAGACTGTTCTCTTGGACATTCTCAACTCAGTAGTACGCATCCGGCTTCAGCGTCTTGCAGAGGTATCCAAGGACAAGAAGAAGACCAAGACGCAACGTGAAAGCGAGCAAGAGGACCAAGCAGATATGGCTCGACGACTATCATTACTTATCCCTCAACTTTTGAAGAAATTCGGGGCTCTTCCCGAGGCTGCTGCGCTATGTCTCCGATTGGAGCGTGAGCTGAATCTGGATGTCTTTGAGGAACTCCGGCAAAATGCAGCCCTTACTGCGTTACTTGACGACATCAACAAGCAATTCCTTACTCATCACAACGAGCGTGTGCTTGGTGAAGCTATCGGATCCATTCTACATGCACAGGGCAGCGAGGAACTCAGAGAGACGGTTGATCTCAAGGTGCAAGCACTCTGGGATGACCTGATCAACACATTTGATGCCCTTCGTAGAGGCAAGGACTTTTCTACACGAGGCAACTTGGATCAAAATGTTCTCCGCGGCGTTTCCAACGTCGTACTAAAGATGGCACAACTGGTGACTGTTTCAGATGCTTCTGTGCTGGACCATATTGTTGCTCCTGCAAAGCCAAAAGGCAGAGGCAAGAAGGCGGCGTTGGACACACCGCCAATTGACTCAGTGTTGCAAATCCTTGAGCGAGGTGTTCCAGTTGAGGAGCTGGATGCAGAGATTGAAGAGGCAGACGATACTTTTGTCCGTCACGCAATGTCTATTATGCTCATGTATTTTATGTGGAAATGCCGGGAGTGTACCACACACGTTGAAGAAGGCACCAGCATACCTGACGACGAGCTCATGGCGCTTGTGGAAAGGAGGGACACTTGTGTCACGACCTTGATGAGGATTATGGAGAGCCGGAAAGGCACAGATGAAGTACGACTCGACGCAGCGAATCTCCTGTTAGACATTTACACCATGTTCTGTACACTACGGGTCAAAAAGGGCAAGGCGACAAGGACGCCTAAAAAGACACAAGGCCGCGCATCAAATAACGCCAATGACGATTGGGAGGCTCTATGCCGAGACATCGACAGCAACACAACAAAGCTCATCTTGCAGATTCTTACGGCCTGGGAAAACCACCTGGCCAAACTTACCAACAAGCGTCTTGAGGAACCAGATGTTGACGATGACCCAATCGACCCTGACGACGAACCGGAAAGTGACGAAGATGATGCTGCGGACGAGGGCGCAGTATCCGACAAGCAAGTGCGTGCCATTCTGGCTGAGCAATCGCTCGATGCGTTCGGTGGGCGCATCGTACATGCTGTGCTTGTTGGTGCACTTGATGGCGACGGTTCAGGCACAGTGCGCAAGCGTCTAGAGCGTAACAAGACAAAGCTCACGCCTACATGGAGGGAGGTTGTAAATCATCTCGACGCAGTCAAGCAACGCAAAGTGACCAAGAAGGGTACAAAGGCAACTAAGGACACTGCCAAGCCAGCCAAAAGCAAAGAGGTTGTTGAAGTGGACAGCGATGAAGACGAAGAACAAGACGCTGAGAATGAAGTACCCGGAGACGAGATTGAGGACGAGGAAATGGCCGATGGCGATGAGGAGCAGACAAATGGTGTACAGGATGCGGAGGAGAATGGTGACGATGCGGCAGAGAGGGATGGGGATGGCGAAGAGAGTATTCTCGGCGACTGAGTGTTTTGATATGGGCGAGATGCCTGGATTTAGTTGTTTACTTTATGATTGTGAAGCAGGTTTCGGAGCTCCGCTCTTCTTCTTACATACCAAGGCCACGATTACAGCAAGGCGCTTCGGCGTTATCACCATGGGTAGTATGGTACGGGTCTGGGACTGGCGGCCTTTTGTGAATTCATCATCTGCGACGTTGTTTCTACTTCACCTCTACCTAACATGAATTTAATGACCAAGCAAGTCTGTGCAACGACTCTCAATGCACAGGGAGCTTTTGTACCTCACCGCATGCTCATTAAGCTTCTCCATAGGACATGTTGGGGGAGATGGGGAACAGAATCCAGCAATCTCTTGGCACACCCCAACGAACGCAATGGAAACCTGTGCGCCAGCGTTAGCGCCTCGCACGGACCATCACACACAATACGCGAATTATCGGCATCGACCGCCCATCGAGGAACTTCGTCAAGCCTACAGCAAGCCCGTCTAACACCGCCGACAATCGTCAATACTGTGAGTTGCAGCCCCGTATCCGACGCCGTAAAAGCAGTCAATCTGTGCGCAAGAACAAAAGACTGATTTCAGGCAGCACACCAGGACTTACCCGCCCAACCCGCCCTTCAACCACACATCATGTCTCACGAGTCGGTCTGGTACTCCCGCCCTAGGACCTACGGCAAGGGCTCTCGCGAGTGGTACGTCGCTCCCTCTTTATATACCTCCGTCCGCATCCATGTCTACATACATACCCATTCTAGTCCATGTGGAGGAATAGGGAAGGCGGGCCTTTTGCGTACCATGATGGGCGCAGGGGCAGCGCAGGAAAACGGGCGATTGGACGTTGCAGGAAAATAAGGAAAAGGCGTTACTTTATAGGCAAAGGCTAACACAGTACTCAACAGCCGCGTTTGCACGCACCCTGCTGGTCTGATCCGCAAGTACGGCCTCAACATCTGCCGTCAGTGCTTCCGTGAGAAGAGCGCCGACATTGGCTTTGTCAAGGTACGTTTCTATTTTCACTACGCTCTTACAACAGCCTGGCAGACGAACGATCGTGTCTACTACGAGGTTGTTTGCGCATGGAAGGAGGCAAAGAGGTTAACAGACTTACAGCACCGATAAATTCCCTTACCCTTTATTCAAACGGAAATCGAACCGGAGTAGGGGCGGCGCACAAACTTGACGAGATGATTACTTGACGATACGAAATGGCCACCTCGGGACCCCCGGATCTTTTCTTTTCTTTTTCACTTGCAACTACGGGAAAAAAGAAGAAGAGGGGTGGATGGATTTAGCATGGGGGGGACGCGAGGCAAGATAGGAAACAAGAGCTGAAAATGATAGCTTTTTTTTACTTGCTATGTGTGTGTCGAGGGAAGGCGACGAAACGGCGGTTTCTGACAATGGAAACTTGATGTTTTGACTTTCTCTCTCTCCCTCTCCATCTCTCTCTGTGTGTGCTGTGTCGGACATGTTTCTTCCTTGCATGCATGTGCTCTCCGGTTCTTTGCATAACCGACAATCCAAATACTCAATCCGCAAGCTTTACTCTTTGAACTTGTTGTGCTAGTACAACTAACAAGACAAGAACGGCCTTGTAACACATCTAGTCCATTCAAACACACCCAAGCGGACACACAATCCAATTTATACCCACTAACAAGATAAGTAGACAAAGGACCTGAATTATGCCATTCCAAAAGAAAAAAAAATGCAAATGACCAATATGGAGAGAGTGGGAAAGCGAACTAACTACGTACTAGTCGGTGCTGAAGAGAGATGACATATATGCATATATAACAAAGAAAGAAAAAAAAGAGAGAGAGAAACAATGTACAAATTTGCGAGAAAACAGAGAGAGAGAGAGAGAGAGAGAGAGAGAGAGAGAGAGAGAGAGAGAGAGAAACCGTAGCATAGGAAACGTGGGTCCTAATTCCCCCTTCTCTTTCTCTTTCATTGTGGTATCAAACAAGTCCAAGTACACGTGTAAACCCCCTCGCCTCCATCTCACTCTCGCTCTCGACCGTTCGCTCGCTCGCTGTCCTCATTACTTGCTTCACAGACAACACTCCTCCCTATAAAAGCAAAAAGGCAAAAAAAAGACAACCGTTCATCCTTGTACCTCATTCTCTGTCTCATATATCTCGTGTATCCCATTTCACCCAGCTGTATTCACCCAACTTGACATGCTTCTCTTACTAGACAAACAACAACAACAGACAGACAGACAGGAAAAAGTGAGGAGCCCTTTTTTATGGACTCTACTCAGCCGAAGGCATACTCTCCACCTCTTCACTAAGCGCACGCCAGTTATCCGCCTGGAGTTCAGCATACTTGACTCGTTCCTGCGCCCACTCCTGGTGGAGACGACTAATGTGGTATTGGGATTTCTGGAAGAAGAGGAGTTCGTCGCGGATGCATTCGCGGATGAAGACGCCGCGGGCGTGTTGTTGGACAATAGATTCCTTGTCCTAAACATCAAAGTTAGCCCCTTTTCGTACTTACAACAAACTTTAGACGTGATAAGGAGAGAGAGAGGAAAATAACAAACCTTGAAAATGGCCTCTTCGACTTTTTCCGCCTCGCCGGGCTTGGCATCGGGTTTGTTGCGGATATTGTTGAGTTTGGCCTCATTGCTAACGATTCGGCGTTCCAGTTGGGGAATGTTGTCTTTGGCGTACTTGTCTCGTCGGTCAAACATGTCTCTTACGCTGACGAGGGTGTCTCTTTGGCGCTTGAGGTCTTCCAAGACGCCTTCTTCCCAGCCTCTTGCTTCGTCTTCGAGTAGCTGTTTACTCGAATCGAGATGCCGTGCTGTAGCGCTTAGACCTTCGTTCAGTAAGGGTACGTCGTTGGTATCCACAGCATATGTGTCGTGACTTGCTTCTGTCAGGCCGCTGAGTGCCGAAGAGAAGCGCAGGTACTCGGCTGCCATGCCTTCATTTCGGCGGCAGAGGCGTTCCATCATGCTGCAAAGCGCAATGTAAGATTCAGCGCTACGTCGTACGCCTGACCTAACCGTGTCGAAGAGTTCAGGCAGAGTCTTTGGTAGGGAATCTTCGAGATCCGGAGGAAGGGGTTTGCCGGTGAACTCTTCCTGTACAGAGAGATTGGCTTGCTTACGCCATACCGCAAGTTCCTGCTTCTCGTCAGTACAATCTAGATCATGTTGGTGCTAGTTTAACCTACCGTAGGCACAGTCAGGAACATGACAACCAATTGTTCTTGGTTGAGGACCGGATGGCGCACAAGGGCATTTGTGAATCGTGCCAGACCCTTTCTTCGCTTCTCGAGGAAGGTGGCATCGGCGGCTATTGGGTTGCCGTTGACTAAGAACTCTCAATATTCATGAAGACAATGGGAAGGGAGACAACTTACTGCCAACCCTCTTTGGGGGCAACAATGGCAATTGTCGGAATGGATACCGCTTGTGCAAGCAGTCTAATAACCAGACGAAATCGCTGTATCGACGGACGACCTTTGTTGTGCGCCGCGAGCTGGCCACTTCATAGTTGCGGTGCTGGAACATGAAGACGCCCTCTTTCTCCGAGAGGGCAGTGATGGTGATTACTTCGTCGTTTCCAGACGCGCCGGGCAATCGACCAATTGACGTACCCAGCTCCGGTGGCGCATTAGATGCGCCTTCTCGACGCGTAGGAGCGCCAAAGCCTCCATCTCCCATAGTCGGGGCAGCATAGGGTTGGTTTGCACCACCATTGTATCCTCCCCAACCACCTTCGCTGCCCAAAGAGCTGGGCTGGACAGGTTGGGGATTTGCCGACTCGGTGGTCGAGTGGGTGGTGAACTGGCTGGTGGTGCGGCCTCTGGTGTGAATGCTGGAGCCGTTGGTCTGGTGTTGTATAGTGGTGTAGTTGGCGTGGCTATGGCCTCTGTGCAGGTCAGGGCTGCCCCACGGATCCGCCTCCGGGTCTCCGAAAGATTGCTTGCGCATGGGCGCACTTGACTTGTTTGCAGCAGGCGATTGTTGTTGCTGGGTCGGCTGGCGCTGAGGAGCTGGAGGGGTTGGGGGATGGGGGTCCTGCGGTGGTGGTGGAGGAGGAGCAGTGGATGCAGAGGTCGATGCAGAGGCAGGAGCGGGAGCAGGCGACGAGTCGCGGGCCTTTGCGGATTGAGGAAGGGATACAGTGGGTACGGGGAGATCTGGCACTGGGTCAGTACTGGTGGGCTGCAGGCGTATGCACGGCGACGATTCCTGCTAACACTCACTCCGTTTTCTCTCGTCGACGCTGTCGAGGGTGATGTCCTCGTGCTCCTGGGCCAGCCCAATCAAGGCAAAGACAACATTGAACTCGTTTCTCCCCAGCTCGGCGCTTCCACCGGCGGGCAGCACAATCTCGAGAATCTTGGATTGGGCGTGGGTGGGAATGCCACTGTTTATCAGCAACTGCTTCACACCCTCAGGACTGACGCCGTTGCCGTGGCCATGGCCGGCGTCGAGCAGGGCGTCGAATGCATCAATATACGAGTCGGGCACGTCTGTGGGCGGGAGCAGCGACCTCACGAGCGCCTCGCGGCCAGCTTTCTTGGGCGTGGGGAATGCCCAGGGCGAGTCGTTGTCACCGAGGTCGTCTGCAAACAAGCTGTTGCCCGGCCTGCCCGCGGGCTTGGGATCGTCATCGAAGAGCGACGACGATTGTCCTGGGCGCGGCGGCGTGTTGCTGTCATCGTCGCCAAAGAGAGACATGATGGGTCAGAGGAAGAGGCGCTGGGCGACTGTCTTCCGTCAGGCTGCGCGCGGTCGATATGAGGCGGAGGCTGCTGGGTCGCAGTTTAGTTTCTATGCAGTAGCTGCAGCCGCCCACGCGCCATGATAACATGGAGCTATGATGCGGCCTTGCAAGGAACCCACGACGCCTCCACCACCCACCCCGGCCCAAGCTCTACCGAACCCCCCCAGCCTTATCGCCCTCTCTTGGCCCCCGCCTTTGCTTCATTATTCACCCATCCACTCATTCATCCATTGCCAATATAACACGTCTGCA